TGCAGCTTCTCCTCAGGGATGTCTTGCAGGAAGTGAGCCTTGCCAGCTAAAGCAGGGAACTGGCTAAGGCAGCTGCACCCTGGTGCGACCATCAGAAAGCAAGAGACCTGAGAACTAGAAAGACGAGGCTCACTGAGTCATTTATCCCTCCGCCCTTCACTTAACCCCACATGTGTTTATCGGCCAGGTTGGCACACTAAACTAACTACCTCACCCACCAAGAACCAAAATATGTGCCCTTTTTTCTGACTTGTCCATCTTTACCCTCTTTCATGGGGGTTAGAGTTAGTTTTCCCTTATCAGTAATTCCATAGACCCAAGATGGCAAATAGCTTGAGTGTTGGGTTGGGAAGGGTTCTGAGGCAGGGCTTCAAACCAGTTCGTTCTGGTTCTACCTGCTGAGAATTTCCATTTCCACTCTAGATAAAATGGAATAGGAACTGACGTTTTAATAGGACATGCCTAAGTGAGCCCTATACATTCTCCAGTAATTCTTAGGATTACCTGAGACTCATTTGTTAACAGGTAGATTCAGATTCAGTATACCTGAGGCAGAAATGGAAAGTCTCAGCAGGGCGCGGGTACAAAATGAACTGGTTCAAAGGCCTCTTCTGAGGCCGTGGGTGGACTTAGCTGTAGAAAGCACCTTGTTCAATCTGTAATGGTTACCAGGACTCAACAGAGGCGTAGGCTCACACCATCGTTTGAGGTGCTGTCCACGGTGCTGACCAGTTTGGTGTTAGGCTTTCGGGCAGGTTCTATGTATCCGCACAGGATCTGCTGCCTTGTCTGCCCTGCCCTGCCCTGCTCTGCCCTAGGCCTCCAGCTTTTACTACCTATGAGGCCTGACTTTTACCCCAACAAATTCTTCTTTTTAAAAATTTTTCTTTTAAAAATCATTTTATTGGGGAGCTCTTAAAACATCAGTCATATCAAGCATATTTGTACATATGTTGCCATCATCATTTCCAAAACATTTTCTACTTGAGCCCTTGATATAAATTCCTCTTTTTCCCCCTCCCTCCCTCATGTATCCTTGATCAATTATATATGGTTATTGTTATTTCGTATCTTACATTGTCCATTGTCTCCCTTCACCCACATTTCTGTTATTCATCCCCTTTGGGGTAGAAGGTGGCAGGTATATATCCAATCTTGTGATGGGTCCCCCTTTCTCACCCTTCCCATTCCCTGACCATCCCCCTACCCTCATGGTATCGCTACTCCCATTACTGTTCCTGAGGGGTTTATCTTTCCCGTATTCCAAGTGCTGAGAGCTCTAATCTGTACCGATGTGTGTTCTCCGGTCAAGCCAGATTTGTAAGGTAGAACTGGGTCATGGTCGTTGGGGGGTGGGGGAGAGGAAGTATTCAGGAAAGCAAGGAATGATGTGTGATTCCTCGGAGCTATAATGCACCTTGGTTGAATCATCCCTTCCTTATACTACTTCTGTGAAGGGGGAGGGAGGCGGGATATCCAGTTGTTTACAGATGGGCTTTGGGTCTCCACTACAAACCCCTTACCCCCTTTTGCATCGATATAGTTGTTCTGTTTTGGATCTTTTGATACCTGATGCCTGATCGTGTGGACCCCTCATGATTACACAAGCTGGTGTGCTTCTTCCATGTGGGCCTATTTGCTTCCCTGCTAGATGGCTGCTTGTTTATTAACTCCAAGCCCTTAAGACCCAAGACACTACAGTGAACCCTCATTTATCGCAGTTAATCGGTTCTAGACCCTGCCGTGATAAA